GGATACTCACTATGCCCCACCTGTTCACTATGCCCCTCCTCCCCCTATATTTAAATTGAAACCTACAAAATTGTTGCTATTTTGGCTTCGGTTGACCTTTTGACCAATGGTTTGTTAGTATTACGTTAAACTGGCATTCGCAATCGTGCATCAGCAAACGTGTTAATCGTTTCGTTTTCGGGACTCATCGGTAACAGTACAGTACAGGAATCGATGGAGGAGCGCGCCGTATACCTATCGCTTCTCCTCGGCTGTCCTGTGTAAACAGCTCTTCGGTGCTGATTAACATTGGCACATCAATTTCTGGCACAAACTTAATCGGATTATACCAATTTTCGTTAATCAGCATTATCAACGAGCACATCTCAAGTAACAATTTACTCTGATTTATTGTGGTTTTATAACGGCGAAAAGCAATCTTTTTAGTTTAAATACAGCATTTAAAAGTGCAATATGTTCTTGATTAGTAATTCAGCTTTATGCTGTTTTAAAAACCTTTTAAAGCCTGACCAGAAAATCAAAAAGTTTCTGGTTTTAAAAATGAATTTAATGCAGCACTCTATCCCTTTATAAAACTGTTCAGTAAATCAATTGATATTTGTTTTATTGATGTCACGACAAAATACCCCATAAAGGTGTTTTATCATTATATAAGAAATTATGAAACCATTCGGTTTCAAACGGGATCAAAAAGCATATATATTGATGCGTTTTGGTGCCAATGAAGTGTATCACAAAACCTCCCGCTGTTTACAAATAAAACTGTTAAGATGGATCCACCTAAAGACAGAGAAAAACATAATCGAGTGGGGCTTTCAAACGCAGAGTCACAAGAAAATACCAAAGGATAATCGAATAATGATTCTAGTAATGCTTTCGATGGAAGAGAAAAGCATTCAGAACTTTCTGGGGGGGCAGCTCCGACAAAATCGGTCAACAAAAACAGAGCAGCCGACTGAGAGGAGCGAAGTGAATGCGGATTTCGAAGCATTGATGGGAATACACAGCATATTGTCAAGGCAGTCTTCTTCAGAAATAACGTTGCGGTGTGATCCGGATAGCATCAGTGCCAAACTGGGACTGCGGAAAACTGCTGACAGGAAACTTCAGAAGCTGTCCGTCAGCTGGAAATTGGCTGCCTTCCGAACTGCAACGATTTCATTCAGCGAAAGGGTTAACTGTTCCTGGAAGCTCAATCGTTCCCAAAAAGTTTTCCTTCTTCCGGATGATGCGATGAAGTTTATGTGCGCTTATCAAGGATGTCACGCAATTTGTTAATCCAACGCTGGAGTAGAACATCGTTGCAATGATCGCACAACAAAACTATCGAAACATAAACAAATTTTGACGTTTAACTTTTCCCAAGCAACTTTGCCACCATTAATGCCGTCATAAAACTGAACGGAATAGGATCAAGCAAAATGGCTTCAGATAAAAACAATTCAGTCTGCAAATTGTTTTCATAAAAGCCGCATTGAAATGTTTTGCATTTGTTAGCGATTTCATGAAAGCAAAACAGCTTTTTCACAAATGGCTCATGGAAAATTAATGTTTATGCTATCGCCATATTGTTATTATTGCATTTGCTTTTTTACAATCTTCGTTTTTCAAGATGTTTTTCCTTTAAAATAACGTTATTCTCATCAATTCATCATTGAGCAATAATAGAGATTACGAAAATCATAAATTTGTTTCGGCTGGGAGCAATGATTAACATAACATATAACCACAGACAAACAGACATAACACATTGAATATTTCTCACTGTAAAACATCGTTGCTAAAACATTACCGCCATCTGTTGAGTACACTGTGGTGGGTAGTACGCTGAACAGATGGCGGTAGTGTGTAAACGTCAAACGCAAGGGAATTGAGTTTCGATAATTTTAGTAGCTCTTTCACTTTAACGGTGAGGAAATTTATGAGGATTTTTGACAGATTCATTTTTGAACAATGAATTTGGCAAGATCGGACGATATTTATGTACACTCAGGTCTTTTTTTACACGGGGGATACGTACCGTGTAAAAAAAACCGTGTGAAAAAAACCTACCAGATTTTGATTTTTCGCATGCTTAAATGTTTTTAAAAATCGGATTTTGATTCCATTTGTAATTAAAGCATTATATGGTCCATATATACATATTTAAAAAATTTCTGTATTTACACCAAAAATTTTGATTTTTTTAAGTATGCCATTCGATTACCTATAGCTTGAAAAGGATAATGTGATTGGAATCAAGTCGATAGGTTGTATCGTTGCCGAGAAATCGTTAAAAACGTACCGTGTAAATCGTGGAAAACCGTGTAAAAAAACCGTGTTAAAAAAAACCGCGAAAAAAAAACCGTGTAAAAAAAGACTTCAGTGCATCTCTTTTTATCTTGATTGATGCTTTATTTTTAGTGCGCTTAGCAAGCATCAAAGGCAAATGGCACAAGTTTTGATGCCAAATGGCTTTTATTTTACTTTTAATAAGGATTTCAAATGGTTCTCAATGCATTCGTCATATAAACTTTTTGCAGCAAGTCATTCTTGAAATGTCTCGATAATGCACTCTTTAGAACCTTCTTCAGGGTGGAGCAACTAGACAGATTCTAGTCTTAATAAGGTTTTGGTGGATGTAATATAGACAAAGCTATTTTGACCAGGGTTTTATGAATGTTGTTTTATAGAAGCCTTGTAGTACTTCATAAAACGTTAAATTTAACTTGGGATATGTAAACAGGCCATTATGCTGGTGAGCTTGTCGCTCAAAATAATGGTTATCAGTATGATGTATATAGTTGTTAACTATTATTGGCGGATCAATTTCTGGCAAAAAATTAGTTGATGTACATCAATTATGGTTAATCGGCATTATAAAACAGCACTAGTGTAAACCGGGCATCAACCATTTGAGATGATTTTCTGAATGTAGGTGACTACTTGATGGTTGACACCAATCACAACTTGTGGCTCCAGCGGGGGTGGGAAGGAATGTGGTAGATTTGGCAGAGGGGGCACTTGAGCACTCTCTATTGTGGTTAGTCAAGACACTATCCATTACAAGGTTGACAAACAGTGTTTAAAATGTTTATCAACTTTGTAGTGTATATCTCTTGACTAGAGTATCATTACACAGAGAGCAGGCAACAATATATTGACACATTTTGCCATAGACTTACACAGATAAAAATTCTAACGTTCATTAACGTAAATTTGCATTTCATTTCACGCAACCGCGCAACTTGTAAACAATGTTGTTTACAACAACGGGCTTTTGCATACAATATTTATTACATTACATGAAATGTTTCAGAACTTTACATGATATATAATGTAAACTTATATGATATGTGACGCTCCAGTTATGTGCATCATACTGAACTGAAATTTACACTACTTTTTCGAACTGTGTACGTGTATCATCAAACGTAATTTGTTGCTTCCACCGTTCCGATCAAGCTTGTAAAGAGAGAGTTTGTCATGGCAAATTTGAAAACAAATTATAAAGTTATCTTGTTGCTTACCATTACTGATCACGCATTATTACTTGGCTCGATTATCGTATGAAATTTTTTCATGATGATGATATGTTTGATTCCTTGATCATGACTAACGACAATAGAGAGAGCACATCCCACACACTAAGATTTTTTTTGCCGAGATGGGCACCACCGAGCAGCTTGGCATTTTATTTTGCTGGATCTCAGTGAAAAACTTGCCAATATTCAGCAAAAATTATGTTTCTTAGCTGCGATCTCGGCAAAATTCCCATTTGTTAGCTGAATCTCGGCAAATTTTTCGCTCTGATCCAGCAAATTAAAATGCCGAGCTGCTCGGTGGTGCTCATCTCGGCAAAAAATCTAAGTGTGCATAACACTGCATGTTTTATCGTGGGTTTCGTTCAAAAATTCTAAATCAGAACTCTAATAAAACCCAAACTGTTAGTCTGGATGTGCCCCCTTTAACTCTGAAGCCACCAATGCTAATCACATATACAAAATTAGCTCAATCGGTTGAAAATTAAATAAGAGAGAGCGAGAGTGGGTGGACGGTGGGGTTATGGTATGGCAGCACTAAATACCTAGCAGACAAAAACAAATTAATGATGCCAGAAAGTGTCTCAAAACCAAAATGGAACAAAAAATTACCATTCACTCAGTTATAATATCCAGATTTTATTTTAATTAATTGAACATGCACCCTTTGTAAAACTCATGTAAATTATTGTGATGCAAGATCAAAATAACACGAGGAAGATTACAAGCGTTCTATCAGCTAAATACGAATGACAACAGACATATCACAATACGGGTATTGACGTAGCACATCAAAAGATTTACACTATCGTAAAAATAGCAGGCCTCATTGAAGTGTAATAGAGTTTATGCATATACGAGGTTTTTTTTTAATCTTTATTTAAGAGATTTTTAGCCATAGGCTAGTTCATCTCTGCATTTACGAGGGTTTACACACCTACGATGCGCTACGTGAATACCCCCAACATTGTTTGCTTCACTTATACATAAAAGAGCACAATTATAACACTACTGCTTCCTCTTGAAACTTGCAGAGAGTAAGGCACATTGATCAAGTTACATTATACTTTGATAAGCAAAACTTCTAGATAAGCACCTACTTGTATTGTTCTAACCGCACTAAACTATTCACCACAACCTACGCCTAAATACTAAACATGACTTCCTACCGAAAACGAATAAATACAAACCGAAGCGGGAACCAGGTACTCTTACCTATTGCATATTCATAGCATTGCCGTACAACGAACCGAACTATTCCGAAGCTCGGGTCATACACGAGTGAAATTTTTCACCTTACGTTAGTAGAAATTGCCGAAATACTTCTTTTAAAAATTGTCAAAACAATGATTGCTTTTGACGCGTGCAGATATGCGTTTTGCTGTGTCGTTTGACGAGCCTTCAGAATAAAAACGAAAGTTACCATTGCTTGGTTGGCTCTGGAAAGTCATGCTCATTAAATATACGAAATGAAATGGCTGAGCAAAACACAGTACAAAGCTAATTTTATTTTCATATTCCTTTAACTGACAATCCAAAAATAACCTCTTATAGGAAATGCGTGATGCTGTTTGCGTGGACAAGCATTACAAGGAGACTGCATTACTGAAAATATTATTCTACAACAATTTATCGATATCCTTGACAATATCCAACGGAGTTGTGGTCGGTGCAAAACGTGCCACCGGTTGTCCATCCTTGTCGACTAGGAACTTTGAAAAGTTCCACTTGATAAAGTTACCCAGAGTTCCGCCTTGCTTGTGCTTCAAATATTTGTACAGGGGACTCGCATCGTCACCGTTGACATTGACCTGAAAATTATAAACATAAAAAAGAAATGCTTATTAAGGATGCCATATGTTGAGCGGCAGTTTTAGACCGATACTACAAACTTAGAATGAATTTAATTGACTTGCAAAGTAGATACTCGAACTTTGATTAAATTGTACATATTTATATAGTGGAGGTTAATGACAATCGAATCAAGCCGGCATTCAAACTAATTTTCACTTGTGGAGTACCTGTGAATCACAAGGTCATTGCATGTAGCTCCAGATGTTTTGTAAGTGGTTGGTCTGATTTAAAGGAGTAGACTTTGATGGTGACATTTGCATAGTAAATGAATACTGTGCTAGATTGAATAATAGATTGGCTTGATTGGATTTTTTATACAATTTTATAGAATACAACAAAAGCTACACCAAATGAGTGCATTTGAATAAAACATTTTTGAGTTAATGTCATATCATCAGTTTTTTTTTACCTCTGTTCGGGACATAAAACCACTGCGACCAGTAATTTGATCTATTGTAGTATATCCCGTGTCCTTAGTTTAGTGCATGTCGTATTACTCCATCACTATTGAGAAATGATGAAGTATTCGGTTTTGATACAGTTGTCATTCTTGCCTTTATCGCAAGGAATCGATTCTAATTGAAAGGTCCCGCTATTTATACCCTTCGGAGTGTTGAAACACCCTCCAAAGGCGTGCCCCTTTGTCAGTCAAAATTGGATTCCTTAGCAAAAAAAAAAACAAGACATGACACCGATAATGACCATGCATCAGAACCCTAGTCTTAACCACTTCAAACTAGGAAACAACGAATAGAAGATTAGGAATCACATAGGTAAAGACTAACTAACTCATTTTTTCCTTGTTTCAAGATCATCCTCGGTCCACGCAACCCGAGGACTTATCACTATCAACAAGGCATAAAAAGTAACAAGGACTAAGATGTGTTCCTTTGATTACTGTAAAATCCTGTTCCCCTAGTTTGAAGTAGTCAAGACTAGGAATCGGTGGTAGATCTTACATCCCGTAACGTACCACGAAAAGGTGATCTACCCACGTTACGGGGCATATCATCAGTTATCCAAACAATTTTAATTAAACATGTTCCCGTTTGTGGACTTGCCCTATAGACGAGTGCACCGATAAATTTGAGTTTACTCACTCGAGAAATAATGATTAATGAACATTTAGTGTTTAGGATTAGTAAACAATGTCCGCAGCATGTGTTATTTATTCTCGAGTGTGTGGACTCAAATTCATCGGTACACTCGTTTATAGGCCACTCAATCTTGGCCTCTCACAGCCATCTTGAAAAACGGCTTGATGATAAAGATTGGGATTAAATTTTAAAACACTTCTATTTCTCAAATAAAGCATTAGGGGGCGACCGGCGTAATGGTTAGCATCCATACCTCTCACGCCAAAGTCACGACTTTAAATCGAACCCCCGGACAAGTAACGAATGACCCAAAAGTGTTAAAGTGACCACAATAAAACAAATAAATAAAACATTTATTATTATTTTAGATGATTCTACGGGGGAAACAAATATAAAGGTTCAAAAAGAGTACTGTAATGACCCGATTTTGTCAGCCTCTCCTCGCATCGCTCTTTTGTCTTGCCATGACTTCACATAAATGTATTTCGAAACCATACTGATTCATCTTTGAGACTCGTAGAATATAAGAAAATATTTTCAAAAAGGAGGCTGACAAAATCGGGTCATTACTGTATTATATAATAAATTCGAAATTAAAAGAAAATTGTATGAAAGTGTTTCAAATATGTATATTTTGGCTTTTCATCCCACAGTAACAATCAAAATAACTTAAAGCACTTAACTAGAAAAAATATAAGTGTTGTAAAACTTCTCTCCCATATCTTACCATGCATTTTTTTAAATGTCATCATCAAGCCGTTTTTTAAGATGGTTGCAAGAGGCCAAGTGAAGGGTATAGCTCGAAACGTAAACAATGACTTTGAACGTCGATTTCTCTTGAATGACCACACACCCACGGAATCTGATCACACCAGCTCATAGAACAAACATTTCTCTGTTAGTTAGTTTGAGTGGGTGTGTTGTCATTCGTAAGAAACCGACGATCCAAGTCATTGTTTAAGTTTCGAGTTAAACCCTTCTGGCATGTTTCCCCTGAATTTAAACAAGAGTTTATAAATTTTCAATTGTAATACAGGTAAACTTTAATATAACGTAACTGTCACTTTTGATTTCCATCACCGATTTTTGCAAACGATCACTCAAACAAGCAAAGTAATAACATCATCGGATAGATGAGATAATCTCCCATTCATTGGTAATATTAATTTGTATGATATAATTGTTACTAGCGAGATATTGACGATAGAAGTCAAATTGGACAGTTACGATATATCGAGGTATATCCAGGCATGGAAAATCATTTACATTCATTTCATGCATTTATTTACATTCATTTGCCTCTAATTTTTTTCATTAACAGCATTCCGTAAAATAATGTATAGAGCTTTAGTAGGTTGTGTTATTAGCTACAACTTTTGCTCGTAACTCAAATCTGTATCTCTTATGCATCACGAATTAGAGCGGGCAGAACTTGTTACTGTTTTTCAGTGAATGTAAAATACACTAATTGAAAAACAGTAGTAGCTTATGTTCGCTCTGGTTCGTCATGCATAAGGGATGCGGATTTGAGTTGTTAACAAAAGTTGTAGTTAATAACAAAACCTACAAAAGCTATCTACATTACTTTGTGGAATTCTGTTGATGAAAAAAGTTAAGGGCAAATGAATGTAAATGAATGCACGAAATGAATGCAAATGATTTTCCATGCTTGGGTATACCTGTATCTAGTAAATAGTCCACGTCTTGCAAATACAAATTATTATAATAATATCCCATTGTTTAATATTTCCGAAAACAATAGGCCGTAAGAGTATGCTCTCCTCATAGGAAGATCACGAGAAACTCTGCTCGCTTCATTCATGCGACCCAGTGTATTTATTTTTAGAACTGTAAAAAATATTCAAATAAATGAATTCAAAGATGTCCCATCTTACCCACCTTATCCTAATCGGTGAATCGAATACATTAAATGCATAATATTCGTCGATAAATAATGAACATATTTCTCGATACACCACTGAAAAACTTCTAGACAATAACAAAAAAGAAAGTCGATACTATTTTTTCTTATGTCGGCTTACGTTTGTTTGTTGAGATTGATTATTTTTAGAGTCAGTGAAATTCACTTATTGAAATACTGATTTTGTTTTTAAATAACCTACACTTTTTTTTAACTATTCCCATCCGGATTCCCGTTGAATTCTTCTTAGAATTCTATAGGACAGCTCCCAGAAATTACTAGATGTTCTCCCCTAAATTCCTTCTTTTTTTTTTTCCTTGTTCGGGACCTAACACCACTGCGACCAGTAATTTGATCTATTGTAGTATATCCCGTGGCCTTAGTTTAGTGCATGTCGTATTACTCCATCACTATTGATAAATGATAAAGTATTCGATTTTTTACAGTTGCCATTCTTGCATTTATCGCAAGGATCCGACTCTAATTGAAAGGTTCCGCTATATATACCCTTCGGAGTGTTGAAATACCCTCCAAAGGCGTGCCCCTCTGTCAGTCAAAACTGGATTCCTTAGCAACAAAATTAAGGAATGACACCGGTAATGACCATGCATCAGAACCCTAGTCTTACCACTTCATACTAGAGATCAACGAATAGAAGATTAGGAATCACATAGCTGAAGACTAACTCATTTTTTGCCTTGTTTCAAGATCATCCTCGGTGAGCAAAGCCGAGTCTTGTCACTATCAACAAGGCATAAAAAGTAACAAGGACTAAGATGTGTTCCTAGTTAGAAGTAGTCATGACTAGGAATCTGTGGTAGATCTTACATCCCGTAAACGTACCACGAAAAGGTGATCTACCCACGTTACGGGGCTGAGAATTATGAATATTCTACTCAAAAATTCAAAGAAGTCTTGCCAAGTGTTGAAAAGAGTCTAGATCATTTTAAAAGAGTTTTCGAATCTTGTTTTTTTTATATTTCAAATCTGACATCATGATAACTTGTGTGTACAGATTTATATTATAGATTTTTGTTCAACTGAAAGAACCAAGCGTAAAAACAAATATACCGACCAATCCCGGTCCTACATCATCCTTCCCACAAACTCTTAATTATGCCTTGAAATTATGTCTGAAAATATGTAGGAGCTTATAAAACAGCATTTCCTGATCTTGTTTCAGCAAACAGTGATGCAATTGATATCCTTATAATTTTTCAATTATTATTTCGCAACTGTTTGCAACAAATTCAGCAAACTTTGGTGGATATTTAAACCTTATTATGTTGTTTTTCCTTTTAATTCTACTATAATTGTATCATTTTTACTTTCACGAATTCACTTTCAATATTCACTTCCACTGATTACTTTCACTATCAGTTAAAAAAAAACAATAACATATACGTATTTTGTTTACTATTTGCAAACTTCTTCAGTGTCTATTACTAGACACTGAAGAAGTTTGCAAGTTGTAAACGAAATACGTGTACATATGTTATAGTTTTATTTTTTAAGATAAAAGTGAAAGGAAAAAGTTAAAGTGAATAGTGAATTAGCGAAAGTGAAAGTGATACAGTAGTGGTAGAATTAAAATGAAAAACAACGTAATAAAGTTTACAGCTATCCTACTAAAACGCTCAGCATTCAATTCAGAATAAATAGTAACACTATCTTCCGGGGATTGCATTGAACAAACATCAGTTTGATCAGTTTTACCCCAGAGCTAAATATTTGCCCTCCGGGAAAAGTTCAAAACCTATCTTGCTTGACCCAAAACACTTCAGTCGACAAATCAATTCACACAAGTACAGTTCCATCCCGTTTTTTTCAACACGTATTTTTGGATGCTTTGCTTCTATAAAAATACATCGAACACTAATTTCAAGTTATGACAATACTAGAGCACTCTTAAGAAATCAGAAATTTTTTATAATATATTAAAATGAATACAGAAAGGAAAAACTGAAATAAATAACTGATGAAGTCGAATCTGAAGTTAATACAAAGCTTTGGCGATAAAATTGAGAGTCCACAACCTCTTTGCCAACACCCAGCCATGTTTCGGTATCAGTATAGAGTTTTGAGTTGACGTCTTGAGTGAAGTTTGTCGGATTAATTAGGACTGCAAGTTGATGGATAAAAATAGTTCGAACCTTCGGCAACTTTCCATAAAATTTTAAGTTCTACAACTTGGCCAAATACAGAAATCTATATCTTACGAAATAAAAAAAAATATATCGCTGCGTCACATTTGTAGCCAAAACATAAACTATACCTATCCACCAAATTGCAGTCCTAGTTAATCCAAGAAACTTCACTCAAGAATTCAATTCAATTGGATGCAATCTCAGAGCGTTATTATTTTTTCCTGTTAGATTTAATTCCAGGCCCACTGTGCAATGGCTAGAGTGAAAGTTGTTAATCACCGAAAAATAGAAAAAAAATATGGTCCTATGACACGAACATGTGGAAAATCAATAAAACGAATTAATTACCGCTAAATTACTTACCGTTGCGAAAACATCTCCCACATCAGCCTTGGCGTCCCTCAGATGGCATACCATTTCTTCCCCATCCTTCTCTGGCATTTGAGATCCAAACTGATTGCACGGGAAGGACAAGATTTTGAAATCTAAAAGTATTTATGAATAACGATATTTAAAGCAAACGGTAAAATCAGTTACAACGGTTCATACCTTTGTCCGCATACTTCTGTGACAATTCCGTCAATTCAGCATAGTTTCCCTTGGTTAGGCCACACTTGGAAGCGATGTTGACGACCAGTAACACCTTACCGCGGTATTTCTCCAAGCTGATATCGTTGCCATGACCGTCCTTGACGGTAAAGTCATACACCGACTTTGCACCCTTGTAGTCCGAACTTGATTCCGTAGCCATCTCTGCGAAATTGAACCGATATGCACAGTACTGGGTGAGGAAGGATAGAAGAATGAACAATCGATCGAATAATAAATATTTGAAACATGAAGTAGCATGTGCTGCTATCGTTAGGTTAGTGTTATCAATGTCGTGTGGAAAATTATATTGCCATGGCCTTGAAATGTAATGATAGGTTCCCAGATAAGGATCGTATATGCTAATGAAGATGGGTGACAAATAGTATGCAAACATGCGCAGAAATTTTAGTTGTTTCTAATGAAACTATTTGTCCCTAATGGTAATGACATAAATTTGTAAATTATTGCTAGCATTTCTGATTCCCCGTCGGAAATTTCAACATAACTACACACCACCTCCAACACAGTGTGCACTAAATCAATCTACTGATAACTCAGTGTTTTATCGCTGACTCATGTAAAAGCTCGATAATGTGTGAAATAAATTCTGACTTGCAGATTCAAGTTTTGTACATGTGAACCATTTGACGTATTGTTTTTTTTACATATCATTGGGATGAACTTTGTACGATGGGCATACAAACACCTGTTAGTAACAATCTTGTAATGTGTCGGTAACGGTTTGTTTGCTAGAATATAATTAATACTAACGTAGAGCATTTCCAAAACATTCAAAATTTTAAAGAATTGCTTTTTCCTTTATTTTGGGACTTTAGTTTGGATTTGATTTCCGACAACTGACTTTTGAACTTCTATCGATGATTTTCCTCACAAATCAACATTACCAACATACGGGGGACTGTCTTCTCTTTCCAATGCGAGGGTGGTGTTACTTTGCATTATAGAAATATTAACACAACCAACATGAGCTTCTCATCATAAAGTGCACACGAAATCTACCTACTTACAACCCAGTAAACTAGTGGTCCAGTATGGGATTTGGCACGAATACTAGACCTAGAACTTGTGTTTTAATATTTATTGCCGTGGGGTCGTCGGTGAAGTTTTCGTGCTTAAAAAGTTTCTTCTTTTGGTGGTTGCAAACATTAGGGTCATCCTTTGATATTAAACAAAACTAACATGCTTTTTTGTACAAACAAAGACACAAGCTTCAGCAAAGTTGTAGTTGAGTTAATTAAAAGCAACTTTGTTGATAAACATTTTATCTTTCTCTTAACGTTCTTAATTGTAGTGTATTTTTGCAGAATTGAATTATTGTGCAGTGTTTTATCGCTGATTGACGAAAAAATAAGAACAATGTATGAAATAAATGCTATTGATTGTGAAATAGGTATAATTGACTTGTGTTTTCGATATTTTTCATACAAAATGATTTTGATAAAAATTATGCAAAGAAACATACATCAAAATTGGCTAATATTTTGGCACTTAACCGTTGATAAATTTTAGTCGAACAGTCAACTCTCCATTTCTCGATGTTTACATCTCGATATTCCTCCCAATCTCGTTGATTTGACAGTCTCTCCAGTTTTCTAAATCTCGATATTCTCTCTACAGTAATCCCTCCATTTATGATGTTTCTCGGCTGTCCATAAAACAATTACGCTGATTGTTTGTATGTGATTAGTATCAACCATAAACTAGTTACCTACATAATTCAATCAATTGGTTGAATAAAAGCCGAAAAATAGCGATGGGTGGACGGTACCAAACACCGTATAAATGAAGGGATTGCGTATCTTGATCATTCTCCATTTCGATGGTTCCCTTCAATATTGAGAAATGGAAAATTTACTGTAATCCTAAATTGATGGCCAAACTGTCTTCTTTCGAATTGTGACCGTTTTGGCAATACATTATCAGTAGGTTTTATTCTAGCAAACACACCCTGTCTTAGCACACAAAATATTCTATTATACTGCGTACGTACGTACATTGATATGAGACAGCATAGTAATACCATCGACAGACATACAAAGTACAACGTATTATTAGTGTTGTATTGCTTTAAGCTAGTGCCTCAAATTGGTCTTTTGCAGGTACTAGATTAACTGAATGCAACAGTACAGCAATGTATGTCTGTCGATGATACCTATAAGCTTAACTAACATCACGTATGACTTGCATTTTTTATGATTTTCTAAATAAACCTCAATCGCAGTCATTTTTAGATGTTACTGGATTTTAACAAAATGTAATCACAGTAATGACCGCTAAATCACAAAATAAGTCTGAATGAACATCAATCGAAAGATTTTGGTTTTGCAAACCAAATAAATTCAGTTCAAGACTGAAGAGAGAATAGCGATTCATCAAGATGAACACACACGTTAATGATATAAATAGAATCTTACGGATAAAACTGCAACTACACTGCAAATGATAACACTTTTACGATTAATCATTTAAAATTTTCCACTGTTCAGTTTACACCTGATTTCCAAAAGAGCATACTTACACTGGATTTCACAATGTTTTGAAGATTGCGTGCTGTAATCGCTTTCATCGACTTTGACGTTGTAGAGTTTGTGACGGGCAAATATATAGCAAGCGGCTTCTGTAAATGAAAAATATGCGATAGGTTGAGGTGAGTTGTGAGAATCACAACAAAAGTGCTGTGGTGAATATTGCCTGTATTCACTCTTGAAAGCGCATGCGCAGCGCATCAGTCAATTGGCGTTGACGGCACCGTTGAAAAATTAGCTCTTCCAGCAAATATAGACAGTTTCTTATGGGAATTTTCGGTGGAGTGAATGAATAGTACAAAGTCCGCCATGTTTAACGCACAGTCTGACGTTTGCTTGTGGATTTTCTCATAGGAGTAAAGAGCTACAGAATCGCCGTCAACGCCAATATTCAGTGTTAAACATCAAGGCCCAAGCGTAGTGACAGTGGCAGCGGAAAGCCCGATCTAAATAAGCCTACTTGTCGGATTGAAAACTAGTTAAAACCAAATCGACTTCGGATAGGCATCTTGATGGCATTTGTGACAACTGTCAAACTTTCCGTTCCGCTTCCGCCCACATTGCTTTTGGGCCTTTACTGTGCAAAGTACAGTAGCCACCAAAATTCGTCTTGACATGTTCTCGCTGTGCAAGAAGTTACACACTTATAGCGAAACCGAACTTTTTGTCAGTGCGAACCTTAACCTGAGCTGAGTTTTAAAAACAAACGAGCAAACTGACATTTGTCAGAAAACAAGCAGACCCAATCTTGATACCCGATCCAGGTTGAAACTGAATAATAAACGAATTCGCTATAAGATTATTTTAATTTATACTAATGTCACATTGCAAGGCCTACTTTTTATTGAATCACCCTTATTCCTGCTATCGAACGAATCAGATAAAAAATAGTTATCATAATGTGCACGTCCGATTAAACCAACATAAGAACTATCGATTTCTGGCAGCTTGATACTCGTAATCCAACCAAGTTGGTTGCAACATTAGCAACGTTTAATTGTTGTTTATGTTCATTTGCTAGGCGATTTTGCCTAGAAAACCTAAATAATACGCAATTATAGGAATATAAAAAATACTCTTTTTACTTGATCATTTAAGAATCCGAGATGGTACTTCAGGCTTACGAAAAATTGTCAGATACCATACAAAATTACTTTTTTGGGAAATGTGGAAAAAGTGACCACCAATGATATTTATTGATCGAAAAGATATGGTTAAAATTTTCCGTCGCTTGGGATTGTCACTTCGAAAAAATTTACAAACCCAAAATGCGCATTTTGAGCGCATGGTCCAATTCTTACGTTCATTTCCTCAGTCTACACTAATTTGTCTACTTCGATTTTTTGTTTGTTTGTTTATTTATTTATTTGTTTATTAAGTTAATATTAGATGCTGCAATCTGCTAGTGATTAGAAAGCAAAATTTATGCTCACAGAAAATTGATCAAAGTCACGGTTTTTGACAAATTTTGACAATCCTAGTACAGCCAATTTAAAAGATCTGGGATATAGATGACGCAATGCGTTTAGCAAAGTGAATAACTGCAGTCTAGAATCTACAGATCTAAGCTACATAGAAAAAAAGTTGTTGAATATTACATCCAAACTGCTGCAACCAGGTCAATCCATCGGTTGTGTAATATAACGTTGTACGATGTACATCGATTTTGCGAACAAAATTACATCCATTGATATAATATTGTATCTGCTTTTTGCTATTACATCATTATTTCATACATCAGCTTGAATTACATTTATTTATTTATTCGTCAATCAATCAAATCGTAGACTACATATTAACATTAGGACTTATGTTTCATGACTTCGCAGGGTTCTGCAATATATTTTTAATTCAGGGCATATTTAGGTCAATGATTTCACAATGATGATTATAAACAGTCATCATCTGATTTACCGGTCCAAATTTAGCGTAATTGATCCGATGGCGATCTACTGGCGAACAACTGTCGATTGCCTAATTGTCGGGAAGGTGCATACAAATTTAACCTTGACAATATATCAGCTGAGTCAATGCGTTGCGAAATGATACACCATCTGTAAAAAACATGTATTTTTTAATTTCATTCTGAAACACATTCATATCGTCATCGCTTCCTATTTCTAAAAAATAGCTTTATGTCATCAGCGTTTATAAGCACCCTGATATTTTTTTAAAATAAGAGAGACGTCATTAATGTACAACATAAAAAGAAGGGGACCTAGGTGCGAGCCCTGGGGAACCCCTGACGTGACATGAATTGGCTTAGATGTTTTCTTGTTGAATCTTACAATTTGCTGGCGATCAACTAAATACGATTTAATCCAGGTGAGGAGCTCCCTCTCAATTCCCATTTTTTCTAATTTAAAAATCAGCATTGGGATATCAATTCTGTCAAACGCTTTGCTGAAGTCTGTATATAGAGCTTCTACTTGGTTACCTCTGTCCACTGCATTTAATACGAAGTCCACAAATTCTAAAAGATTTGTGGTGGTTGAACGGCCTTTAAAAAAGCCGTGTTGTGCGCTAGTTATTCTTTGTTTTATTTGGCCAAAAATGTTTTTATTTATAATTGATTCGAAGAGTTTTGGAATGCACGAAATGATAGCAATCCCACGATAATTTCGGATTTTTTACCTGATTTATATCTGGGTATTAAATAAGATTTTTTCCATTCCTTCGGGAATATACCGGATTCAAGCGACATATTAAACAGCCAGAATAAAGGAGTTGTGAGTTCAGTTGCTTAGTTTTTCATAAAAAAGGTGGGATTCCATCTGGTCCTGAACCTTTAGTGGCGTCCAAATCTCGTAGGCCATTCCAAATATCATGAACCGAAATGTTATTAACGCCAACAGTAGTTGAAAAGTCAGGAAAATATGAAAAATATTCATAATCACGATCATTATCTGAAAATTTCGTGTATGTTTCTTGAAAAAATACTAAAATACTTTTCGAGATTATCACGATTTTTATGTTTTCTGTATATTTTGTGAGCTTTTTGTTTACGATTTTTCAAGTTAATGATATGATTGTTGAACCAAACCGGATATTTGGAGGAATAATTGCGTCGTCTCCTTTTTAATGGAATTTCCTCGTAAATTACGTCAAACAGAATTTTTAAAAAAATCTCCACTGCACATTCAACATTTACCTGATCCTTCAAAATGGTTTTCCAATTTAGTCCATTGAATTTCTTTTTAATATTATCATAATTAGCATTTTTGTAGTCGAACACATTTTCATACTCACTGTCGTTGGGGTGTTGACTGTCATGAAGAAATATGGAAAACTCGATTGCTGTGTGAAATGCTTCATTCTTCCATAAAGGAGAAATAGATTTACTTACACAGAAATCTTCATGTATATTCTTCAACAAGAAATCTAGGAAAGAATTCTGTTGGTTTCTTACATGGTTTATTTGGTTTAATCCTAAACACGCCATTTTTTCAAAAGTAAATTGTAATGTTTCGTTTTCCCCAATGACTGGGATAAGAAAACTCTCATTATCTGAATCAGGAATAAAATCAGCATTGCGTTGATTGAAATCTCCATAAATATGAATTTTGAATTCAGGGGGAAATTGAAATACGATTTCCTCAGCTATTTGAAAAAAGTTTTCATACGAGGACTTACAAGTGTAGTCTGGGGGAAAATAGACTGTGGCAAAAATATGAGTTTCACCCGCTATATTTGTCTTTACCCACACATGCTCAAATTCTTTTACTTTCGATGAGACAGTAAGTTCTGAAATAAATTTTGAAGAAATAGCAATAAGACCTCCACCACCTGACATTCTTTGGGTTTCAAGTAAGTCACGATCATCTCTGAAAACATTATAATCATTTCCAAAAGTTTCCTCGTTTTTAAAGGGTGATACGGTCAAAATTTGGTCAAGGGAAAACGCGTGTAAATCGGTGAAATCGTTTATTTAAAAAATCAAATTAAATTTCTTTTTCAAGTTCAATTAGTATAAAATTCAGGAAAAATATTCAGTTAGGCTTCCGCTTTTCCAAATCCGAATTGCCGGGCCTTACGCTTGACCCCTGCCATCAGATTTTGTACAGCCACCTTGTGCACCTTCTTCGCCGCAGAAAGCCAGTTTGCCTTGAACTGCTGCTCGCCCTTAGCAGTTTTTTGGTCTTCTTTAGGTTCCGCTTGATAATAGCCCAGTATTTCTCAATTGGGCGGAGCTCTGGCGTGTTGGGAGGGTTCTTGTCCTTGGGAACCACCTGCACGTTGTTGGCGGCGTACCACTCCATGGCCTTTTTACCGTAATGGCAAGATGCCAAATCCGGCCAAAACAGTACGGAACAACCGTGTTTCTTCAGGAAAGGCAGCAGACGTTTATTCAAACACTCTTTCACGTAAATTTCTTGGTTGACAGTCCCGGAAGCTATGAAAATGCTGCTTTTCAAGCCACAGGTACAGATGGCTTGCCAAACCAGATATTTCTTTGCGAACTTTGACAGTTTCATGTGCTTGAAAACATCTGCTACCTTTCCCTTTCCTTTTGCCGTATAAAACTCCTGTCCCGGAAGCTGCTTGTAGTCGGCTTTGACGTAGGTTTCGTCGTCCATTACCACGCAGTCAAACTTCGTCAGCATCGTCGTGTACAGCCTCCGGGATCGCGCTTTGGCCGTCGTATTTTGTTTATCATCGCGATTTGGAGTCACTACCTTCTTGTAAGTCGATAGTCTGGCTCGTTTTTTGGCTCGATGCACGGTTGTAGACGATACACCCAGCTTATTTGCGGCATCTCGGAGAGAGAGGTTAGGGTTTCGCTTGAAACTACCGGCAACTCTCTTTGTCGTCTCAGCGGCTTCCGGTTTTCGATTTCCCCCCGATCCAGACTTCCTGGCTGTCGACAAACGTTCCCCAAACACTTTAATTACATTTGTAACGGTTGATTTGGCAACTTTTAGCGATTTTGCCAACTTTGCGTGCGAGTAGCTCGGATTTTCGCGATGCGCGAGCAAAATTTTGATACGCTGCTTTTCTTGCTTGGACGGCATTTTGACAACTGAAGAGTGAATTCCAAAATCAAAATAGGAGCAACATTCTACACACACACACCTTCAAAATGAAGGGTGTTCAGGTTTTT